ATCATTAAAAAGTACTCCCTCCGTCCTAAAACTTTCTTCCCAGTGCACTATTCCAACTTCACGGGAATTTATATTTATTTGTGTTTTTTCATGGCCTATATGATAAAATAAAATATTCTTGTCACCACTTGTTTTGTTGAACTTTTGATGTACTTTTTAAATATGTATGTTTTATTTTTTATTTCTATACCAATATTTAAATAAAATAGATTGAAAAAAATTGGGATTTTTCTTCGTTTTGCGAACCGGGAAAAAAGTTTTAGCACGGAGGGAGTACAAAAATAGACAAAAATAATGACTTCCACTGTATGTTACGACACTCCACTCATTTGCCACACGGTGACTGAGTTATATTTTATTGGTTGAAATAGTCCATATCACCGTGTGACATTTCATTTTTGTATTGCCATTGTTAATGCTCTTAATTTAAGAAAGTTAGCAGCTAATGATGACAGTTTGTTCCTTTATATTCCAATTTTATATTTTCCCTTAGCTTTCTCTTATCTTTATCTTAGAGCATCTAACCAATTGGGAATGTTTTCGAACACATCTATCAAGCTGATCATTATTTTAAAAAAATGTTTAAGAAAATGTTTTAGTCAAATACAGAATTGAAGAATGTTTGATTAGGTGATTTGATTCGAAAATTGTACGGAGTAATCCTTTTGACCCTTTCCGTCCGTCGTCCTTCACTCCTTCCGTATACCATGGAATTTAAATTAATTTCCAATGAGTAATGCTAGAGTCACAAATAAACAATTCACAAAATTTACAAACTTGCCCTTTAACATTTTCCTAGAAATAAGATGCACTCAATTAATAAAAGATATTTTAATTTAAAATTCACAAAAGGCAAGTTTGTGAAGTTTGTGAACTACATGTTTGTGACTATAACATTTTCCATTTCCAATATTTAACATCATTTTACTTTCTATTGATTAATATTATTATTGTTATTATTGTTGTTGTTGTAGTAGTTGTTGTTGTAAATGTCCATTTAAAAGTAATAACATACCAAAACAATATTTTATCAAGTTATACTTAATAATTAAGTTTTACGGATGAATTTCCATTATCATTGGAACATCATGTCATGGAATGACACCAGGGCGCTACGGTGTTCCGTTTGTAAAAATGACAGTTCCTATTGCCCTAATCTCCCGGTAATTCCCCCACCCTCCCCGACCCAAACACACCCCCACCTTCAATTACATCCCCCATGTTGAATCATAATATACTTGGCGTAAACTATATTAAAAGATTAAATTCAATCGATTAACCAGTTCCATTCAAGAACTTATAAACTTGTTATATTCTTTTCAATTTTCTAATGTAGGATAGATACTAATACTCCCTCCCTTCTCCAAAACACTACTTCTTTTATTTTCTTTCTCTTCCACCAAAATACTTCCTTTTTCTATTAAAAAAACACTTTTATCCTTGTTTTTTCTTGCCCTATTTTGGCCTGTTTGGGAATAGCATTAGAGATTAGCGTTAGCGTTTTGAAAAGGCTATCTACGGGCAACGTTTAGCGTTAGTATTTTAAAAGTAATCTGCACTGTTAAATTTTTATCCAAAACTCTAAGGCTGATCTCTAACGCTATTCTCAAACAGGCCCTAAATATCACATCATAATTTTTTTCTAATAATCTAGATAAATTTAAAAATCAACTATAATTTAACACTTTATTATTTTGGCACTTGGTCAAAATGGAAAGTATTTTCATTTTTTCCCAGTGTTACCAGTGCTTTAATATGACCATATGCTTTATGTGGCGAAGCAACTTGAGGTGGAGTGGAGTGGAAACTCGTTAAGTCATTTCAATTCACAATATTCAATCTCGTGTGTCTGTTCTTCCATGGCAAAATGCTGATTCGATGTTGCACCATTGTGTTCCTCCATGTCAAATTGAAGCTTCATTCGATTGATTATGTTACATTTGATTTGATGTTTGTCCAAAAGTAAGAAATAGTACTCCATCTCACAATGATTTACATTCTTTCATTATTCAAAACTCGCGTTAATTTTTGTTAATTTATATATATATTTTTTGATTATTTTGATAAAATAAAATAATCTTATCACGTCTTGCTTTGTAAATTTTTTATGTACTTTTTAAATATGCAAGTTTTATTTTTATTAAAATAACAATTTTTTAATAAAATGAATTAAAAAACGTATGATTTTATTTCGTTTTATGTGATAGTATGACTGCTTTTTTGAAAATAGATTAGCCAGTGATAGTTTAAAAAAAGATTAGTCTCATCTCTGAAGGCCTCAAGCCCAGCAGACGATCAGACGATCACTGAGAGGGGTAAATTAGGGTTCAATCACAGATTGGTAGCAAAAAGTAGAACATGCACCTGGTACTTGGAGAAGTCTTATATTTACCATAGTTACCTCCTAGTATAGTTAGGAATCGAACTCGGGTCTTATACCATGGGCACTTCTTGCCTTTGCCAATTACACAACGTCCACCAGCTAAAACTTTGGAGGATAAACTTTTTATACATCCGGCCCACCGCATTACAGTCCCACCATAAGAAACCCCGACCTCCAACTTGGACCTACAGATTAGTATACACGATTTGTCCCTACTCGTTTGGTCATACCCCAACAAGGGCTGGAATTTTTTATAGCATCATTACTAGTGATATCTACAAAAACATAGTCAAAACTCTAAAATCCAAAAATATGTGAAAATTAGTTTTTTTTGTTGGTAGGGTGACTCGAATTCAAGACCTCTCATCATCTATGAAGAGAAATCTTTAAGATTGGACAACTAGATTTCAACTTTGAGAATTTAATTCTCAATAAAATTATGTGTGCGTGTGGGGGTGGATGGGGGGGGGGGGGGTGAAGAAGAAGTAAAATGCCAGGGGAGAGGAGGGTGGGGTGAAAATAAAGAGAAGGGAGATGCAATAAGAGCATCACTTCTCATTTTTGTGAGACATCATTTTCTCTTTTTGTTTTTCTCCACCCCACTCTAATTGTTAGACAATAATGCTAAATATTCTTATTTTTGCTAGATGTTATATTTAGTTTGTTTCAATTCTCTATTTCTTATTGTATTAGGATTCACTCTTATATATACTCTACCATGTATTCTATAATTCAATAAACAATATTATTATCCAGATATCCCTACATGTTATCGAAGCCACCGTTCTTGGTAACCTAAAATTCTCTGCCCTCGCCCCCTGCAGGCGACGCCATCGTTGGGCTCCCGCCCACCATTATTCTTCCGCGTCAATACCGTCTTCAAAATTTTGACACCATTCTCTCTTTGTTGATTTGATCATCCTCCGCACCACCCAAAGAAATCTTCGAACTCCTCATTCTGCTCTGCAATTTCAATTCCCATAGTGCCAATGTTCCATTTGTTGGCTTCTTTGCCGAAACGTTCTTGAATGTTTTGTCCAATCTCTTTCATCACAAAAACTATTCGATCACCGTTGACGGATAAGCAACTTCTCTTGTTACCAGATCAGAACCTCACATGCAGATCTTATTTTCAACCACTTATTCTTAGCTATGTAGCACTGAAACGGAAACGGGGCCGGAGACGAAACGAAACGGACACGCCGAAACGGCTATTTTGAAAAAATGAAGAGACGAGACGCCGGGGAAACGCCAAATTTATATATATAAATTATATATATATAAATAAAATTATGTAAACAAATTCACAATACATAACATATTTTAGTCATTACAAAACATATTAAAGTATAAGTTCACAAGACATATCATAATTTAGTCATTACAAAACATATTAAAGTATAAGTTCAAAAGAGATAGCATAATTTAGTCATTACAAAACATATTAAAGCATAAATAAGTTCAAAATACATAACATAAAATCCAGAAGTCACTGACTAGCGGCGTAAGCTTCTCCCTTTGTCGGCGAGAAGCTTATTTGGAGAGAACACTTCACCTGATGTCGCGCCCTTTGTCGGCAAGTAGTTGGCCAACCAGCTGCGTAAAGCTTCTTCGAGGGCCGCTGTCTATTGTCGATGAATATGATAGCCGCGTAACATAGAGGAGCGATGAAGATTTAGGGCCAGATAATACTTTTTATAATTTGAGTCAGTTCCAAAACTTTTAAAATTTATAAAAAGAACCCCATTTTTTTAAAAGAGGTGTCCCTGCCGTTTCCCAAAAGAGACACGCGTGTCCCAACCGTTTCCTTGGCGTTTTTTTCTCTTTTTTAAAAATTAAAATTACAGAAACGCCACGTGGAGTTTCCGAGACGTCTCCAGGCGTGTCCGTGGCGTGTCGGCGTGTCCAAGGTGTCCGAAACGGGTACAGCAGCCTATATGGAGTTTCCGTGCAACATAGATTCTTAGTCAACCACTTATTTTTAACCATCAATATCCTTTCTCTTTTTTCTCTCTTGTATAGAACAAAATTAAATAAAAACACAAAGCAAATCAAAATAGTCATCGCAAATCTCCATCGGTACTCTGGCAGCGACCGATAATGGTATGACAGTTGAAATCTGACAATGTAGTGAATGCCAGTGTCACAATAGTAGTGTCAACTCTTACTTTGGTTTTAAAAAATTAAGAACTCTTATTTTGATATTTTTATAATTTTTTACTTTTATCTAGCGAGTTCTCCCTTGAACTGGTAAGTTGCTTGTAAGTTAAATACTTTTTCATCTTGATAAGATGACTTAAATGATATATAAGTGATTTGGAGATATTTATAATTTTTTTTAATTAGGGATATTCATAATAGATAAAAGATAATTTCGTAAATAATCTGATTAAAACGGAAAAACGTACAATAAAATTGATTTAAGAATAAATAAGATGTACTTTTTTAAGCATACAAAAACACATCATCAACTGACTTATAAATTAAAAATAATTTATAAGTAATTTTGATCAATTTATAAGTATAGAGAAACACATATATTATGTAAGAGTGTAATATTTTTTAAAGTATATTCAATAAAAAAACTAGTCTTAATCCGGATTTAAGAGATCTGGTTACATAAACCAACCCTACCTTTTAAAGTCAATCACACTCCAAACAATATGGTTGCAAGCAAACTCATACTCCCTCCATCAAATTTAAGTTGTTTCTATACTATTCACAAAGTCAAACTTTAATCACTTTCTTTACTTGTTTTTTGTTACTCAAATGATAAAATAATACAGGCATGCCACCTTTTATTTTGTAGATCTTTTGATATACGGAGTAGTTTTTAAATATATAAAGTTTATTTTTTTTTAATTTTACCCCAATTTTCATATAAATTAATTTGAAAATAACTTCAGTCGAACATAGGACACTTAAAATGAGACGGAGGAAGTACAGAACAATGTCATCAAACAACAAAGAAAAGTCTCTTCTTTCATGGCTGTTAGGGGGGAGTAGATATTTACCAGTTAGCCCAGTTTCTGCATGAATGTTTCTGTCAATGTGTGCCCATTAACTATTTTTGTAGTCAATACAATCAAATCATATGGCATCCCCTCCTGCACATGCATCAACAAAACACATTGGGAAGTGGATCAATATAACTCTACTAAAGCAAATGTTTCATCTGGTTTAATGAAATAATAATAGAAATTGTTTTATTGAAAGAACACTCGTGTCGCGTATAGTAGAAGTGTAACTCATTGAGTGCATCAATAGGGTTAAAAAAAATTAATGCATTCTCTATCAAGAAGTATAGAGGCTAGAGCCACAACTAATAATACTTCAAAGAAAATGGGTAACACAATACGACAAATTTTATATTTATACTCGTATTTATATTATTGAAAACAAGACTATTAAAATTGAAAACGCGTGAATAAAGGCAGGAGAGATTTGGTTTTGATCAATGAAAGAATAAGAAGAGGCTACCTGGGAACTCAGGAATCGAAGAGCATGAATCTCGGCAAAGGTCACCCCGCCAATAAAAACAACAAGCACCAAGGACCGCCTTCCATCACATATTCTGAAATGCACACAAGTGTGGCCAAAACAATGATATGGAGTGAGAATTGTAAATTTAATGTTGCAAATCTGAAGAGAAGAAGGGCCAAGAACCTGGCATTAACTCAGATGACAAATAAGGAAATGCAATACATTAACTAAAAGTAATAAGGCTCTCTTTCATACATGGAATTCAAGCTATGAAATTGGAATTGGGGACTTTAATTCCCATTCTGTTGTTTGATAGCACAAAAATATGTGGGTTTTGAATTCGTAGTGCAAAAAATGAATTCGAATTGGAAAATTCAATTCCATCCAATTAAATTTCATAGAATTTAATTTTCAATTCAATTCGAATTCCGTCAATTCCGTGTACCAAACGGACCCTAAGAGTACTATGCAATACTCAAGATAGCTACTTTCAGAATATCCATTTATTAGATTTTATGAGCATCTTTTCTTCTCTTTATCTTACTTTAAGTGCAAATTAACGGTGCTTTCGGTCTGTGTTAGTGTGTTTAGAAGCTCTAGGTTTGTGCCCGAAATGAAAACACATGGAACACTATATTTCTACAGAGTAATAAATATTAATTAATTGGTACATGCATAAAAAATGTACAGAAGGTCAGAACATTGCTTGAGCCTTACTTGTTAGAGTAATCTATGGACCCTGGCAGACTGTCAAAGGACGGATTGCTTGCAAACCCACTCTGTAAAGATTCATGCAAATACATTTCGGACTTCTATGCGGTCTCGCTATATACGATAAAAACAATAAGATTAACAATGATTTGAAAAATGAAGGTGTGAAGGCTTACCCTCTTGCAATCTGAATGGGGCCCTGGCAGCAATCTTAATATTTCTTCAATGGGACGCCTGTAATATTTATATGCATAAACGATTTACCTTCCTTCTTAGGTATATGCATGACTATAACAAGTATTTGAAGTCATTGTCATCTCATGATACTTTCCATCCAAGTAGAAAAAAGCTATGATATTGATTAATGAAGCTGGTGATTTTCAAATTTCATTTCATTATTCCATCTCATGTTTTTCAAATTTCATTTCATTCTCACTATGCTTTTTTATGAATTCATAAATCATAACATTAAATAATTTAAGGCAATTACACCAACCTACCTCATAACAAGTGGGGTTGGCGGGTGGGTGAAAGTAACCCGACCTTTAATATTTTTCGATTGAAGAACACGGTAAATTCTATGTCATGTGACGATGACAATGATGAAGGATTGAGGGGAATAAGGACTGAAACTACTCAAAGCTAAAACATTGTCAAAATGACTCTTTTCGCTCCATTGACTCAGATATAAGATTATAGTGCAGATTAAAATAAAAAAAATTCAATTAACATTCATTCACTAACATTAATTAGAAAGTTTATAAAGCAATATGGTCAATACTATCCAACAGAGCTCTTAAAAAAAGAGTTTACCACCCAGATCGGATGGCATGCTGAATCAGGCGAATGCTGAGAGGTGCATATCCAGAAAAGACATAGGAAATATCTCTGGGGCTGCACTATGCACACAATATTAAGAGTCAGATACAGAATAAACATCTGAGTAGTGAGTACATTATATATAATACAATAGTCAGATTAAGGGGCTGTTTGGCAACTTCTGAATCGGTAAGTGCTGAACCAGTAAGAGGTCTGAATCATTAAGTGCTGACCAGTAAGAGGTCTGAACCATTAAGAGCTAGTATATTGCTTAACTATTCAGAGGCAAATGTCTGATCAATTCAGATAAGAGGTCTTAACCATTCAGACTCTGTATAATACTTAACCATTCAGAGGCAAATCTCTTAACCATTCAGACATCTGAACCATTAAGAGGCTGAAACAAATAGTCTGAACCATTAAGTGCTGAACCATTCAGACATCTGAACCATTAAGAGGCTGAAACAAACAGCCCCTAAAACATTATTAGATACAGACCCTATCGACTTGTTAAAGACCAGATACAAAAATAACATATGACTCATTTTGACCTGTTAATCTTAGCTGAATACATTAATCATCCCAATTTTCAAGATACAAACACTCTGCTCTTTCAATGGAAAAACTCTTTCTTTCGATGTCTTCCATTCCAAATATGAACACAGTTGATTTCCTTATTCCTTCTTGACAAGACAACATGCAAATGCAATATAATTTCAAGGATGAATAATAGACTCATTAATTTCTTTATTTAGCTTAATTAGTACTATGAGTGGCTGTGTCTATTTTAGTTGAGCCTGTAAGGAAGCAGAATAATAACATACGACTAAAACCAACAAGTCGTTGGCATTAAATGCAAAGCATATGCGATTATGCGAGAACATAAACATTTTCTGAAGTTGGATAAAAGTTGATAAGCAAGAATAGACTTCCCCAAAGAGAAATACATACTTGGCAGCGTCAGTATCCTCAACAATAAGCTGAAGAGCACGTTTAATTGTTATCCAGTTGCTTTTTGACTCCTAAGACAAAGACCAAATTCCAAATTCACTATGTTATGGAACTGAGCAATACATCAAATAGAGCAGTGTACCAACCATTGTGCCACAAACCTGCTTCCTGAACAATCCCGTCTTTTCCAAATTGTTTAATGTAGCAATGTGCTCAAAACCATAGCTGTGAAGTAGCTCTCGCCTACAAAAGAGAAGACACAGAAATTTGTGAAGTTTTCAATAATATCCAACAACATACGTATTAGAGAAATTTAAAATAGAGTGAGGAAAATGTCATTTATATCCCACTCGCCTTAAGTAGTCATAATTCTTTTTTGGTAATCCAGAATTTGTGATCGAGAATAATATGAGAATGTGTAGAACATTGACAAGAGGTTCCTGTTTATGGATCATCTCTTCAATGTACTCGAAGCATCTGCATCACATGCAGCATTAGATTTCACTTCATCTTCTATTGTTATGCAATGATGCAAGACTAGAATGCTGCAAATGTTTTTAGATGCATTAAACTAAGGTAAAATGATACACACGACTTAATGAGAGTACAAGGATGCCTCATATTGGTCATCATAATGTCATATATTTCATATTACTCAATTGCTTGTCATGGAAAAGAAAAACTTAGTTCCATTTATTTCAGGAAAAAAAAGATGATCCAACTTCAGCGAAAATAGAGAATGGGGTAACTTCCATAACAAAAGATGCAAACTGTAGCAGAAATAAAAGAAAAAGTACTTTGACTACTTTCTTAGAAAATCAGAGAAACTCTAGTAAAGGATAAAGGAAATATAAGGGGAGACACTCTTTATTTTTAGGTAAACTAACGAGATAAAAGTGCATCCATCCATTTCAAGAGTATATTTTATTGGTGACACAAATATGTTGTAAAGCTTTATAATACTAGTACTATTTTCCTATTATTAGTATTACTAGTATTAATTTCCTATTATTAGTATTAGCAATAATCTCATATTCATATTAGGTTCTTTTTATTATATTACTAATATTAATATTGCAATAGTAAGGACTCTAGTACTTGCTCACCGAGATTCTTGGGACTGGTATAAAACTATAAAAGGAGGAGTTATGTTCAAATGAAGGAAACCTTACTCTCCCAAGGACAAGTAGTTCTTTATGTTCATAGTTTTCATTCATCACCTTCTTCTCCCAACCATGTTTGTAGCATTGTATATGTTGAAATTTAACTAATTTCTCTACTCTATGCCTTTTCATTTCTCATATCAACATTCATATTTCTAGTAGACATTGTCATAAGATAATGCCCCCGCCCACACACCAACACGCTCATTTGAAGAATTAACTTGTAATAAATAAGATTGAAGTGGTACTCTATCCTTAGCATTGAGCCAATAACTAAAGGTATTACTTTTATTAAAAAATAATTTTTTGAGATAACTCATATTTATAATAAAAAAGATCAACTAAAACAAACAACAAATTATTACACATCAATGTCCACACTGACATTTTTTAGTAAATATTTAATAATAATCAATTAAAGAATCTATACACATAGTTTAAGAAAACATGAACACCTATAAACCTAAATTTGAAACCCTTTCAAAACTTAGGGCCTTTCAAACCAATAATAAAATAAATTATCCAATTGACTCACATATCGTAACTTTCGGACTCCACAATAGTATGTTCCATATCTAGCCGCCCAAGAAATGAAGGTTTAGATGTAAATTTATTCAAATGCTGAGCAAGATGTATATGCCTCTGGAAATGAGAGACAAATATTAGTATCCCAATTTTTTTGGGCAATAATACAAATGGGTGTAACCAAATCCAGAGTATATGAACTTACTGTCATTTCAGGCAATGAGTTGAGTTTTTTAACGAAGTCTTTCAATTCAGAAACAGTTTGGTTCTGCATAAAATTCACAACCAATTAAATGTAAGGTTTGAAGTATACCGTATTCATTTAAAAATCTCTCTCACACAGTTACTACCGAATACACACAGCATAGGTAAAAACGTATAAGAAATTATTAAATTAGTTTATTTGGAGCTGCTAAAATGAGAGTTTTAACTAGTCTGCATCCCAGTCTTCATTTTATGCATAAAAAAGATAAGCTTTCTCTATTACATTCACTTTAAGTGGGCTAATTAACTTGTTGCTGGGACAAAAATGACTACGCAAGTATGTTTTTTATTGAAAAAAGTATGCTAATATTTATATATAGTTCTAATCACATATTGAAGCCATAGGCATCTATACATATTTAACAAATACATGGCCTTACAGTTGTTTGCATCTCATTGTAATCTTGTTTCATAGCTGTTGCTCTTTGACGTAAAACCTGCAATTGCACTGTAAATGGCAATTAAAGGACCAAAAACAAAAGAACGAACCGATTATAAAAATTTGGAACAAGGAAAAGGAAACATTATGAAGATGACATGGAAAAAGAGGTCCAAAAGCCTAAATTTTTAAAACAGAGCTGAAATGACAGATCAACCTGACCAACAACTTCGAAGTTCTGATCCCGTATCTCTTTGAATAGTTTGTCACTGTAAGGACATACTAGATCAGCGAGCCCAAGAGGTAACTATGTGTTATGCACGGCTAGGCATATTTGGGGGTAAAAGTCATGAGTGAAACTTGCAAGTCTAAACTTTATTATTGACAATACTCACAGAGTTCATACAATAAATAAGTTCTAAGAGCTACAAATGTGTGCTAGAGCTCAAAAAAATTAGTAAAGCCAGTTTCATCCCTGAAAAGCTTATAATCCTATAGTAATACAGGTTAAAGATAATACTTCTCTATCAATTAATTGGAAGAAAAATGACCTAGAATTTAGAGGAACCTTCATTTTCTTCCCCTCTTGCTGGGCACCCATTATAGAAGAATCTACCTCCACCGCACCATTATTGATACCAAGAAACTGTATGACACCAATAAAATATATACAGCACCTATGATTCACTTTAACACGTGAGAATAGTACTGCATAGTAATTACAAAAATAGCTTTTTACCTCATCCATTAGCCCTTCATATGTTAACTGGGAACACATAGGTGTAACCATGTCCACCTGCAGCAGGGTTTGAGTCTTAGAATTCTTTTAACAAGATTTGCATTCCATGCCTTAGATAGGACACTTATCAAACCTCTCACAACATTATTCACTCACATTGCATGTATATGCACCTTTTTAAAAAATAAAAGGAAGCGTGCTCAAATTTTCAGGGTTGCATGCAATAAAGTGAAAAAAAGAATTTTCTTTAAAGGGAGTGAATACCTCTCTGTCAATGAGGATGAGAGTGTTAATATCTGGCACAACAACCTGCATGTGAATAAATTCCAAAAAGAAATATTAACTTATGGTGAATGAGGCAACACGGACAGATGCTTTCCCTTTGGCTCTCACATTTGGTATTACACCAAAGGAACACTGCACTTTTCAATTAAGACATCAATTGAAAGAGTGAATGGAAGTGCTTATGCAGAACCTACTTTTCTTTATGTTTATCTTCATCAATATTTATATGCCAAAGGCTGATAAAATTCTGAAAGAAAAACCTCGAGCTTGTGAATGGCTTTTGCTGTATGCCAAAGAGAGGTTGTGTCTCCATCAACTGTGAATTCCTATCAGGCAAAATGCAACTACATTTATATGTATGTCTTAAAATCATAAAACGTTGTGAAACATCAAGCAAAACAAGGACCAGACATACTCTGTATGCCGTATCGAGTTCAAAAGACAAAACATCTTCATCCAGAGGAAGTAGATACAAGGGATACTCGCCTATCGTCAATAAGTGATGGACTTTCTCTTCCTCTAGTACCTATGTTGCATGCAACTTCAGAGACAAACTAGGCAAAGATCTGATCCTGTAAAGCATAAAACAATTTCATGTAGGATTAAAGAGCAAACCTTCTCACATACAACTGCACGGCGAGGAACAAAATACAAAAAATAGTCTCTTTGAATCCCCTTGGAAGCATCATTATGAATGGCTGAGCAAATACTCTTCATCAAGCCAAGCTGAGCTCGAACGAGATAAACAATTTTAGTACAGTCTGTCTGGATTGGCTCACTTGTAAGGTGCCACAATTCAGCCCCGAGCTCCTGTTTAAGGTTTCCGACAATCAAGCTTGAAATTAACAATACAGCAAACCCATCTTTTATAGTCCATTTGCTCTTCAACACATAACATTCTCTCAACACTTTAATCTCACCTAATCATTTCATGTAGCAGTTTTGCAATAATAATAATAATAATAGTAATAATAATAATAATAATAATAAGACTGTAGAATAAGTGAAATATAAAATCTATAGCAGTTAAGAAATTATATAGCTGCAAATGAATGAGAAACAAAGAGTAGCAGGTCGAGATAAAGAACGATGCCTTGAGTATTGAGCTCTGCACAATAAGTGAGAGGGAACCACTGAGCTTAGGATCAATAGCTAAATCTGCAATTTTCCAAAAGAAAAGTTACACTTTAGGAGACAAATTCATTGAGCACTGCGAGAAACTTCAGGAAATCACAAATTAGGCAATACATCAGTGTAAAGCAGCACAGATGAGTCCATAAGAAATAAAAAAAATTGGTAAAAAAAAAACTTAAGTTCTTCAAAATCATCATGAGCTCCTTCTGCGATTGATCTCTGTAAACCAACAGAGCAAAAAATTTTCATCAAGATCATCGCAGATGTGCAGAAAGGAAGTGGAATTTGAATCAAAAATTAATAGGAATAAAACATACTCCCCCGTCCCTAAATCATTTACTTAGGGAAAAACGAAGTAATTAAGTTTTTCAATTTATTTTAGGAAAAATTGCCCAAAATAATCCCAACTTTACCCGGTCTTTCAAAAATAATCCCACCTTTCACTGTGATGCATAATAATCCCAACTTTACTGAAATTTGCCAGTTTTGGGTCGCCGTTAAGTTTCTAACGGAGCGATAACGGAAATGCCCGTTTTAGACAACAAAATGAAAGTTGGGATTATTTTTGATGAATTTTTGTTTTTTAATTTTTTTTGAAATTTTCATTTAAATTTTTTAAATTACTTTCTACCTCCATCATCATTTCTTTTTCCTTTTTTAAAGATTAGTCTTAGTTTAAAAAATAAAAACAATAGATATAAAAAATGAAAAAATGAAAAATGTAACTAAAATGGTACAAAAATAATAAATTAAATAAGGTAATCAATGAAAACTAACTTGAAATTGGAAAAAGTAAAATAAAAATATACGGGTGGGTTTAATATTTTAGGCATTATACAAAGCATTAACATATCACTTCTGTTTTTTAGAAAAAATTATCTACAATAATTCTAACTTTACCGGACGGCTTGTTCTTTTAAAAAATAAGTAGTACATTAAGACTCCGTATAGTGTGTAAAATGTTAAACTCACCACTCCATATATATTTATTTTATTTCTTACCAGTTTCTGTTTAATTTCTATTGATTACATTATTTATTTGATTAATTTTGAATGGTTTTAGTTATTTTTCTCATTTTCATTATTTTTTATATCTATTTTTTTTCTAAAGTAAGAATAATCTTTAAAAAAGAAAAAGAAATGGAGGTTGAAAGTAATTCAAAAAATTTAAATAAAAATTTCAAAAAAAAATTAAAAAACAAAAATTCATCAAAAATAATCCCAACTTTCATTTTGTTGCCTAAAACGGGCATTTCCGTTATCCCTCCGTTAGAAACTTAACGACGACCCAAAACTGGCAAATTTCAGTAAAGTTGGGATTATTATGCATCACAGTGAAAGGTGGGATTATTTTTGAAAGACCGAGTAAAGTTGGGATTATTTTGGGTAATTTTTCCTTTATTTTATTCAAAGATTGGTATATAAATAAAAAATAAAATTTTTATATTAAAAAAGTACATCAAAAGTTCTACAAAATAAGAGGTGACCAAAATATTTTATTTCATCAAATAATTAACGAAAACACAGAACTAAACAAAAATTCCTGTAATTTTTTAATAGTAAAGCGTGTAAATCATTTAGGGACATAGAAAGTATCGTTTATCTTCAAAACATAAGTTTCATGTTTTTATCTCCAAAATATGAGTTTGTACTTTGACATTATGACACTCTATACTAGCACATCATTGTATTTTTTATGTACTATATATTGATAATATTGACATTGTAACTTCTCTTATAGGGATAAAACATAAAGAGTTCCTATTTTGGTATCTTCTTTATGTTTTACTCCTAATTTAGTCATTTTTTCAAAATAATACGAAATAGTACAAATATACAATGTCAAATTATCATAATATAATAATTTTATTTTGGGTATAAAAACATAAATTTTCTATTTCAGACATATAGTCCGCAAATTATAGCCTATATGTGGTTGCACGGGAAGAACCGTACACACAACGAAAATTAGCAGAGCAGCGCGATCCGAAAAGAAACTAAGAGAGAAGTGATGGCGAACCTTAATTGCTTCGATGGGAGAACGAAGGAGCACGTTGGTGGTAAAATCTTAGTTGCGTCAATGGGAGAAGGAAGGGAACACTGCAGAAGAAATGCTTGGTCGAGATTTACCGCTTTAGATGGATGCGATGAAGTTGGGAGTATGTAAGTTTAATTAAACTTTTGGATTATATTTTCTAATGATACAACATAAGGGAGAGCCACACCCTAAAAGCTAGCTGCTAAGGTGGGAGAACCATTGGCTATATAAACCCATCACCAAGTCCCCCATTTAACTGGTGTGGGACAATGAAATCAATCGGTATCATTCGATCCTCCATAAGGCCCAACGTCCTCGTTGGTCACGGCTACGTTGGTCACGACCACGTTGGTCACGGCTGGTTTCACCAGATCACCACTCCATAGGCCACCACTCCGAGTTGGCTCTAATAATCAGAACCAACTCGGAGCGGTGGCCTATGGTGTGGTGGCCCACGGAGTGGTGGCCTGGTGAAACCAGTCGTGACCATCGTGGCCGTGACCAATTTAGCCGTGACCAACGAGGACGTTGGGCCTTATGGGGGGACGAATGATATGGACTGATTTCATTGTCCCACACCAGTTTTATGGGGGACTTGGTGATGAGTTTATATAGCCAAAGGTCTTCCCACCTTAGCAGCTAGCTTTTAGGGCGTGGCTCTTCTTTGTGTTGTATCATCTAACTTTAAAGGGAAGAAACTCTTTCTTATTTGAAAATTAGCACCACGTCATTTGAGAATGAGCACTGCTTTATTTTAGAATGAACACAACATTATTAGTGATTGAATATTATACTTGTATTAAACAAATGTGTGAAAATGAGTACTACATTAATCCAGAATGAGTACTACGTTATAAAAAATGAACACTTATATTTTGTGCGAGAATGAATACTAATTTATTTCAAAATGAATACTACTCGACTATATATTATTTCTAGTACAGCTGCGTGTACCATATATTGACTCCATATAGCCTATGTTTTAGACTTTTAATCCTAGCAAGATAGATGTCTTAATATATAATTATTTAGTTGAGAAATAGTAAATTGAATTATAATCTCAGTTAATTTGTGTGGAGGTGAAGTTTCGTGCTTGTTTTTTAGGGATGCTCCATGCTTTGTATGGTTATCCTTCGTCACAATCACCAAATTCGGAACTCGAAATCTCTCCCTTCTTATGTCAAACTCTTAAGCCTCGCCAGCATTATATAACCATTTCTAAAAATTAAGCTACACTCTGAACCAATTGCAAAGAGGCACTACAACTTTTCAATACTCGACAATTGATTAATTTGAGCTTTAATCGATAAATGATTAAACTTATACGAGATTGAGTAGTAAAAGATTTAAAGGTGATAGTAAAAGAAAAAGGACAATGGCCGGCTGGAGGGCCCTGGAATCTTTGGGGTTTGCCCTATGCCTCTTTCCTTCCACTTCCACCCACCCACTCACTCATCAGCTCCATAGTGTCAAACTCTGTGTAAAAGCCCCACCCTTTACTGCATAAGCCATCACTATACACACAGTTGGGTGAGAAGAAGAAGAAAGAAAGAAAGAAATACTCCATGGAAATGGGTGGCTGGAGCTCAAAAAGACGCAAATGGATGTCTGCTACAGTATTTCTGCTCATAGCTGCCTTTGCTTCTGCCCAAATCCAGGACGGTATGCTTCTCTTCCCATCACTGCCCATTTTATCCATCTTTTATTTTTATTAATTGGGCATTTATTATTTGTTTGCTTGTTTGGGATCTGCTTGAATTTCTGCTTTATAAAGCGGAATAGTTTCTATTTATCTAATAAAAATTGAGATTCTTTCAGCATTAATACGCCTGCTTTGGAAGAGATTATGAAATAACCAAAGTGTTTGTTGTTCTTGATGTTCTTGGATGATGAATACCCAGCTGTGGTTTGTGAATAGGCTTTGGTTATGATTATTATAGTCTTCCCTCAGTTCTAATATGTCAAACCCACTAGAAAGAGTTGCAGAAGATGGTTTTGTTATAGTACAAGATCTTCTTTGGTCCTACAACTATAAGTTTGAGCTTTTGGTTGAGTTGATTTTTAAAATGGGTTTTTAAAACCTTGTTGATAGAAAGCCATGAGTTCGAATCTCACTGTCAAGCTCCAACTTGTTCTCTACCCTTCAACACAAAACATGGATTGATTGATTTTACTCCCTTTTAAACTTGCTATACCTGGTACTATCTCAGCTGAAACCTAGGGTCTTAGGCTTATAAAACATTTTGACAATGTCCATTGCCAATGAAGTTAAAAGAATCATTTTTGACAATTTGTTTTAGCTTCAGGTGAATAAAGAACTAAATCAAAATGACACCCTAGACGTCCATTGCTTCTTACTTTCAAAGAAGTTTTGGGTAGTATATGGAAGAATACATCAAAGGGTATAACAGAAACAGTCTCTCTGTTTTTAGTTTTTACAAGAGTAAGGCTACACATATTTTAACTTTTTGATAACTTTGAACCAACATTTTATCTTGCCTCTCCATTTTCTTTTCTAACATTTTTGAAGTCCCAAACAGACCCTTAGAGATCATGGAAAAATTGGTTCAAACATTTAAAAGGGTTGGTACAACATTGGGTCCTATGGTAGCATTCTGATGTGTATACTTGATTTTGCCTAAAGCTGTGATGGGGCAAATATGTGCTGCAATGAATTTGAGTTAATTCTATGCAGGGCCCACAAAGGAGGAAACATGAATTTGACATTCTATCTTCCAAGATCTTGTTACCTCCTTTATTCTCATTTTTAAAGCAGTAAAACTTAGATTTTTACTGCTTCAGATCAGGCAAATTTGCTGCTAGTTCAAAACTGCATTAATTTTTACCAAAAAAAGAGTAGATGGATGGGATATTTATTGCTCTCTGTCTGTGATGACTTTTCTCACTGCTCACTTTGGGAAACATTTGCAAATGGGATCTGAAAGCTAGTCAAAATGAACTCCCCAAATAATTTTGCAATGCTGAGTGCTTGTTTGGTAGACAGCCAATCAGCTAATTTTTTTTTCCGGTTCAGCGTTTAGCTTTAGTCTTTTGAAAAGGCCTTAGCATTTCCATTAGTTGTTTGACTAAAGTCATTTCATGGTGTTTGTGGACAACTGTCTAGCACATGTTAGTATTGTATGTATCCCCTCACAGGTTTACTAAGCAATGGTGATTTTGAGGAAATTCCACCCGGGGGCTTCCCTTCGGATGATATCGGGTTCTCGGATGAACCGCCCAGCATACCCGAGTGGAGAGCCAATGGAACGGTTGAGCTCGTCGAGTCCGGGCAAAAGCAAGGCGGGATGATTCTCATCGTGCCACAAGGCCGACACGCGGCGAGGCTGGGGAACGACGCCGAAATAAGTCAACCGGTCAAAGTCGAGAAGGGCGCAATCTATTCCATCACTTTCAGCGCGGCCCGCACTTGCGCCCAGCTAGAGTCGCTCAATGTGTCCGTCCCCCCGGCATCACAAACCATAGATCTGCAGACTCTTTACAGCGTGCAAGGGTGGGATACTTACGCGTGGGCGTTCCAATCTCTAGAAGAGAATGTGAGGGTTGTTTTCACCAATCCTGGCATGGAGGATGATCCAACCTGTGGCCCTATCATTGATGACATTGCCATGAAGAAGCTTTTCACGCCCAATAAGCCCAAAGGTGGTAATAAAAAGTATTTCCACTTAGAATCATTCATGTTCATTATTCAGCAATCCACCATTGATGCTATCAAGGTTATGATAGAAAACCCTTCATGTGCTTATAGCTACGAGATTGAACTTTTGGTTAAGTTCCTTGACAGCATATCGTTAGAGTAAATTTTTTTCTAGACACCAAACTACTAGCCTGAGTTTTTGGTTGAGTTGATTCATTATTATGGTACCAAAGTGTTGTGAGGGGCAATGTTAGAGTATATACGATTTGTCTTGAACTCCCACAAACACCCCAGTTCCCATGACATTGGCTTCAATTAAGGCATCTATGGTGCCTGGTAAAATTTAAAAGTTCATCAATTGCACACTCCAAATATCGTGGACTTTTGGATCAAAAAAATTGACTCAAAAGTCAACTTAATTTGGAAAGTGTATTTGAAAGGGGGTAGGGAGTGGGTTTGGGTCGGGCCGGGAGGAGGTTTACCGGGGGTTAGGTGGAATAGAACCATCAATCAGGTGTCTCAATTGGGGGCCAATGTCATCCCATGACACAAACTCAATATCATATTGACCTTTTGAATTTGATGCAGGTAATCCGGTATTGAACGGGGATTTCGAATCAGGCCCGTGGATGATGAGAAACGAGTCTTTGGGCGTTCTTCTCTCCACAAACCTGGAGGAACAAGCCTCGCCGTTGCCCGGATGGATCGTGGAATCGAATCGGGCAGTCCGATACATAGACTCGGACCACTTCAGTGTTCCGGGAGGGAAACGGGCAATCGAGCTGTTATCCGGGAAAGAAGGGATAATATCCCAGACGGTGGAGACCAAGCCAAACAGGGCGTACCGGATGACGTTCTCCCTGGGGCACGCCGGTGACAAATGCAAGCCGCCGCTGGCGGTGATGGCCTTCGCCGGCGACCAAGCGGAGAACATCCACTATACTCCCGTCGCCAATTCCACTTTCCAGGCGGCGGATGTCAACTTCACCGCCAAGGCCGAGCAGACGCGGATCGCGTTCTACAGCATCTACTACAACACGAGAACCGACGACATGACGTCACTCTGTGGGCCGGTCATAGATGACGTGAAGGTCGAGCGGTCCAAGGCGGGCATGGTGAATCAGCCCGGAGGCATTCGGTTGTTGCTGGTTTTCGGGTTCGGTTTAGGACTGGCTTTGGTCATGGGTTAGTGGCAGTAAAGCCATGGCCAATGTGTAGGGCTGTATGTGATCTTTGTGATGAAATTTTTCATGGTCATTCAAAAAAAAAGGAAAGAATGTAGGAATGCAAAAAAAAGGCACCCCAAAAGGCCAAAATTAAGTAAATTTGGGACAATAGTAAGTAATCAGTGGTTTACAATATCTCAATGCCCCTAAGATTTTGTGTGGAGAAATTAGAGCAAATCTACATAATGTATTGTATGATATTTGATATGATATGGTATTGTGATTATTATTATGATCATATTAGAAACGTCTATACAAAAACAGCTTGAATACAAACAATTAAACATAGAAACGTCTGTGCGCCGGAGAGTTATGAGGTAAGAATCATTAATTTTATGAAAGAAACAAAATATATCTTCCAATTAGAGCAAGTGTAATCAATGTCATTGTAAAGCAATGTCATTTACGATTTGTGAGTGATTAGCTCCAAATAAAATAATTTTCACATGAAAGTAAACGCATCATATATTTGCTTTTTCAAAATGATGCTCTGACATATGCACAAAATGATAGTGGAAAAATAGTAGTTGACATGTCAAACAGATTAAAAATGACAACCACCAAAATAGAAACTAAACTCTTAAGAGCACCGCAGTATCAAATATCCTCTTAGATTATTTGAGCAAGTTTGGACGGAGCAAGTTTGATATCCTCTTAGAAAAACTCCTTAGCAAATCCATAACTAAAACTGTACATCAGGTTGTTTGATTTTTTTCATACATCTAGATATTTTGCTTGCATCCACGGCTATTGCCCAACGAAGAGCACAAAGGGGGAGGGTCGGAACCCCAGTCGCGAATTCAACATAGCGCGGATTGAGTCAACTCTCCTCTTCGACATGAAGAAGAAGAGATGCATGAAGAAGGGGTTGCGTGTTTGTCGGTGATGGCGGTTTGCTTTCGCTGCAACGGCATGACAGTGGTGCCGATATTTGAAAGATGATGGATGACGATTATGCGTGAGATGTTACAAACAAATGAATACTCCGTATTTTATATAATTGTAATGATAAAAGATGAATAAATTTTTTTTGAAAGGAATATTTTTTTTAAAAAAAAATTTGTGTTAACCAGTTGTACTTAGAGTATGTGCAGCGGCAAGGAAAAGGAATGTCTTGCACTGCCACATCAGCTCATTTCTCTCATATCATGACATGACAAGGACAAAATCCCTTGCTTGGTGAGGCATGGGTGTGGCACTCCAGCCTTATTTTTTTTCTTTTTTTTATTAATTTTTTTATAAAAAAATGTATACGAAAGTAGAATAATTTTTTGATAAAATAAATAATACTCAGTAATTTTTTTCTTATGTTTAAAAAACATAAAAATTGTAAAAAGTGATAAAAATAATGATTTGCCATTGTAGAGCTTATCATTTTACTCACTTATCACACGTTGATTGAACTATTTTTTATTAATTAAAATGTTTCATGTCAGCGTGTGACATTTTATTTTTGCGGTCATTATTGATGCTCTCATAGCTTCTATCAATTAGAGCACTGGAAATGCCCATCACGCCCACCGCCGTGATACGGGCGTTTAACGCCTGGGGGCGTTAAACACCGCCCCCCTTCGGTGTGATTCCGGGCGTGAGACAGCTCGCGTCATTAGTTTGACGCGGCGTGATGCCATTTTTTTGCCGGCTCCCCCCTTCCCAACGGCTATATAGCCGTTACCCCCCCCCCCAAATAAAAAAAAAATTCTAAATTTAAAAAAAAATCTATAAAATCCCCCCTTCTCATTCATCTTCCTCACAACTCTCTCTCACATATCTCTCAATATAAAATATATATTCTCTCAAAAATATTTATTATTTATTATAAATATTTATAAAATATAAATTAAATATGGGTTTTTTTTATAAATTTATGAATGTAAGATTTTTTTATAATGAATTTAATTTTTTTTATGCAATAGTGTCATTGTGATTAATTAAAATAATAAATTAATTTAAATTTATAAATTTAAATTTAGAAGATGTATATTTAAAAATGTAAAAAATGAAGGTTTGAAACCCCAGTTTGAAGTCCCGGGGCTTCAAAACCATTTCCAATAAATTTTGGGAGTAAGTTAAAGCTGACGTGACAGAGAGAGAAAGTTTGAAGCCCCGATTTGAAGCCCGGGCTTCATGACCATTACCAGCTCTTAGGTAATCTAGCAAATCTTTAGTAGAGCACTACTCGGAATGACCAAAATGGACTGGATGGGTAACCAACCGGCATTATAAAATTGACCGCGGGGAGAAGAGAACATGGTTTCCGGAGATCAGGGGAAGGCGAAGAAGGAAGAAGAAACTACCCCTTCTCCTCTCTCTGGTAATGGAACCCGAACCCGGATCCGGATCCATGGAAACCCCCGTCCCCATCAACCCCCTCACCGCCGCCGCTTCATCCCCACCGCTTATTGAAGAAGAAGAAGAAGATGATGATCACCATCCGGATTCCTCCCCCGTCGGATCCCCTGATCTTCCCCGCCCATCCTACGATCAAGTTCAACCCTCTCCAGACGCTGATGCATCCAGCGATGATCTTCGCCTCAACATTATCAAGCAGGCAAATACTCATATCAATTTTAACTCTATCGCGGATTTCTACTCTTTTTTTTTCCTCTGTGATTGTTATGAATGTTTATGAGTTGACTGGCGAGACTGCTCAGGACATGATGAGTTTCTCTGCGTTAGTTTGAATGATTTCTAATTGATACTCCTATTTGACTTGCTAGTAAGTGGATTATAGTATCTATGAGGTTCTAGTGACACTCGAGTACGGTGACACTATCATTTTGAGGCACTTCCGGTGCTCCGTTTGCAAAATTAATTGTTCCTAAATGCATAATAGCCACACATTTGGAGGGGAGCTGGGGTGGGGCGGCAGGGGTGGGGCTGGGGTAGGGGTGGTTAGGGGTAGGAACCATCAATTTTGCAAACGGAACAACGGAAGTGCTACAAAATGGACGAGTGTCATCCGTTGACGTATACTTTACTGGTGTCATATGATGCTCTGCGGTATCATCAGTTCACAGGCTAACCTCTCATTTCAATTGTATGTTACTCTACCTAAAATAGGAATTCTTTAGACTTCAGATATCTATGACATTTGAAGGAGAAAAAACAGAGAAGGAATAGAGTAGAGAATTATCCAATGGATTCGATACAAAGTACGGAGTTTTGGGTAAACATGGTTTTTGCATGTCTAAAATGGAGAGAAACTATAATTAACTTGACGGGAAGTTGTTTTTTTGGAGAGGACAAAATCTGCAGTCTTCGGTTGGCTTCATGTACTCTCTCCGAACGAAATTAAGCGTCTAATTAACTTTTTCATCTCACCACATGGTTGTTAATCGTTTTTAACGGTGGTGTGGTGTGATTAATTAAATCTCATTTGGGAACATATTTTGACTTGCCCAAAGGGGAGAAACAATTACTAATCTCACAGACATAATAGCCTTTTTTAATCTCACCACTCTAATTTCAAATCTCATTGTTCTATCAAAGGGGGCTAGATCTCCATGGCCTGTATTTTGCACCTTTTTGGTCTAGTTTTTACAATAGCAACAACCCATTATAGTCCCAATTCCATTAGGGTTTGAGCGTCAATGCGTCATGATGTACTCTCTTTTTTGTGCTGAAAATACTTTAATTTATCTAGTTAATTTGTACTCCCTCTGGCCCAAACAGAATGCCACAGCTACTATTTTGGCCTCTCGATAACTTTTGTTTGTTTACTCATTTTGGTTGACCATTTGATAAAATTAAATATTCTTGTCGCATCTTGTTTTTAATGTTTTATAGAACTTCTGATGTACTTTTGAATGGCATAATTTGTACTTTTTATTTCTCTACCAATTTGTAAATAAAATGATGTTAAAAGAGATGAAATTTTGCACGTTGTTCAAAATGTTTTAAACAATTTGGGACGGAGGGAGTATTTTTTATTAATGAATATGGTTGGTCTTCCAGGTGGAGTATTACTTCAGTGATGAAAATTTGCCAACTGACAAGTTTCTTCTGAAATATGTGACCAGCAATGAGGAAGGATTTGGTTAGTATCTTGAGGAAGGATCTTTGACTTTTTGTCCATATTTATTGGATGTTTAGACTCTGGAATAGGGGCATAACGTTTTCTATTTTTCTTCATAGATTAGTGATCTCAATTGTTTTCTTTGTTTGGAATTTAAAGAGTAATGGTCTGTCTCGCAGTTCCTCTCAAAGTTATTGCTTCCTTTAAAAAGCTGAAGAAACTGACCAAAGAGATTCCACTTATTGCGACTGCACTCAAGGAATCTTCTCTTCTGGTTAGCATCCTAATTCTTGAAAAACCTTCATTTCAATTGTTCTCTCTATTTTCCCTGCAAAATTGTCTTATATCTCTTGGCAGTTTAGGCATTTATTGGAGACTACCATTCTACCATTTCTTCCATCCACATGCCCATTATTTTCTTAACTTCTTTTAGCCCAAGACTGGTTCTGCTGTTCTCATATGCCCTCTTTATCTCAAATCTATATAAAGTTTCTCTGTTTAAAATAAAAGGATGCATAGGACAGAAGTCAGGGAAATGATTTTGATATGCTGTTTGGTCAAGTTGTGAGTTTGCTTACTCTCCTGATTCAAATAAACAAGTTCTTGAGCTTTGACTGTTCTATGCTGTGCATTTGCCTCTATCTGACTAATGAACAACGAGAAAAGAGAAATTTGTAAAAAAGAACAAAAAACTTTCTTTGAATTTATTGTTTTCTTCCAGGCTTTTCCCAATTTAACATGATGCCTTTTAAGTCTGCCAATGACTTGAAACAAGTGAAGGCTAGGGCTTACTAGAACTTGAGTTAAAGACTTGAAAAGAGCATCCCATTGTGTCCGCTCTACTGAATTTCCTTCTGTGTATCACCAGGTTGTCAGTTCTGATGAGAAAGAGGTAAGGAGACTAAATCCTCTCCCATACATTGGAGTTAGGGATCCTCAGGTATTTTCCTTTTTCACTGGCCTTATTTTAAATAAGCACAGGAATTGCTCTTAGAGAATAAAAGTATCTTTCCATGAACTCTTTGTTTTAGCTATGCTCCGTATTGGTAGAGAATTTACCATCAGATCATTCAGTGAAGGCTCTTAGGCAACTATTTAGCCCGGCTGGACAGTGAGCATCTATCCTTTTTTACTCCCCTACCCAGCATGTGTTTGCTTTATTATTGGATTTATCATTGTATAAATGCTTTGTTTCTTTACTTTCTAGCATCAAGCACATCAGCATTCGGGAACCTCATATTGAAAGAAATCCTAGAAAGTGTACAATTGCAGAGAAGCTGCTTAGCGGCAAGGTATGGATTAATATAACCACATTTAGAATTTCCAAATTCTTTCTTGAACCTAACTGGTACTGATGGTTGTATGCCCATCCTTGGTTTGCATTGGTACATTAATATGTATATACTGTGCAATATAAGAATGTTCTAATCCATATAATTCATGTAAATGCCTTTTTATTGTTTAATATCTGGGGATTTCTGTGTCCTTTTTCCCGGGAATGGTCATCCTGTAAACGTTTTGTAGTAGGTGCACAAAAACATTAAAGTAAAATATAAGACAATGTTTGCAGTTTGTTTTTATTTGATTCAGTCACTCTTTTTGTTCGTATCCTACATATTTTAGGTAATACAAACCTTTGATTTTCATGCAGCTGCATGCTGTTGTGGAATATGACACCGTGGAAGCTGCTGTAAAAGCTGTGAGTTGAAGCACCATCTAGTAGTTTCTGCATGATCATATTACATTAACTGGGTGGCTTTTTTTCTTTTCTTCTAATGTTAATTTGGTGCAGGTGGCCACTTTGAATGATGAAAAAGATTGGAGATTCGGTTTGAGGGTGAAACTTCTAAAGAAAGAGGTAATTAGTTTAGTTCGATTGCATTTTGTTCCGTCTCAGTTTGCCTCTTCAAATTGTATGCACAAGTGACTTTTTACAATGTCTTCATCTCCTCAGATCAAGCGTGGACAGAAAAAGAAAGTCTGGAGGGAATCAGACTCTGATAGGCATGCTTGTGGTCAATCATCTGATCAGGCTGTGGATGAGGAGAACTGCCATCCCAGTGAGCACCACGGTGATTCACATGAGGAAAAGGTTAGTAGTCTCACTGCTTTCAAGCAGGGCCTGTCCAATTTTTTTCTAGGCCCTGTGTAAAATTAAAATTAGGCCTTTACCGCTTGTAATATGTCTGTTCTAAATTTTTAGAATAATTTAGAAGCGACCGTATACGAATTTTCTAGGATGTAAACCTCTACTACACTACTATGAAGCCACGATATTTTTGCAATAAATCAAATGGTTACAAATTCAAAAAAATTGATTATTTTAAAGGGAAAAAATATGCACTTTTTTGTTACAATTAGTTGCATATCCAACACATATTGAAGTGAATGACTATGTTTGATAATGAACTCCACATGCATTTTCTTGGGGCCTGAAATTCAGGGGCCCCTGTTTGGCTGCATATATCCGACGCCCTCAGGGTCACCAATGCTTTCAAGACATTGAACGTGAAGGTTGACTTATTGGATTGAAATTTGAAATGGCTTTTAAGATATTTCCACTTTGTGCATGGAAGGTTAAACTCTTGTTCCTTTAGCTGAGTATAATTTGTCAGAACTGCTATAAATAGTTGAAGCACTGAAGAAGACTTCATATGTTGATGGCAAACTAAATTCAATGAACCCTTTTTCGGTCTTTTAAAATCACCAAAATATTGCCCTTGAAAAAAAACCTTTGCCGGTTTACTTTCATCTAGGGGTAAGTCCTGCATCCTCCCCAGACCTTACTGGCTTGTGGGATTCTATTGGGTTTGTTGTTTGCCTAAATCAAGCTTCGTTTCAAATGATCTCTATTTCTTCTGCCCGGTTCACTGATTCTCTTATCAGGATGGTTAATGATTTGTTTTGTTTTGTTTTTTAACATGTTAATGATTTGTTTTATTTTAGTTTGTTAATGTGTATTTGAATTTGGGAATTCTGTTTACTTTAGTGTTCATTATTTGGAATATAGGATGGAGACCATTTACTGAAGGAGACCACTGGGGAGCACGCACCACTGGAAAGAAATGGGCATTCGGGCCGGACCCGAGGACGTGGAAGGAGGCAGAAACATGGAACAAATGTACAAGGTAATCAATTCTCAACATACTCCTGCGGCTATCCTATTTACAATATCATAAACCTCTTACTCCATCACTCCCGCAATAATTATCTCTCCTTTTCCTTTTTTTTCCATCTAAAAAAATGCCACATTCCCTCTAAGGGAATGAACACGCGGTTCTGAAAATTTCTCTCTCAACAACAATAACAAACCCAGCATGACCCTGTAGATACGTGGATCTTACTCCTACTTGGAAGTATATAAGTTTCCAAGAGATTTCAACCATTCACTTTTCATTTTTTTAAAACATTTTTCTTAAGTTTTATGAAAGCGACAAAGCGAGAACATTTTATGACACTGTTGCTCATGTTATTTCTACTCTGTATTATTCTTTATTTTAAAATTATTTGCAGCCCATGGAATGCATCCATCTGCTCTTGGTACTGAACCCTCAAGACCACCGCCTGGTCCCAGAATGCCAGACGGGACTAGAGGATTCGCCATTGGGCGAGGACGTCCTCCGCCTTCAAATCCGGTGTAACGTGGGCATTTTCNGGGGGGGGGGGGGGGGGTGGTTTTTATCCCTTTGCTATGTAATGGGTTTTTTTGGAATTAATCCTTTGTAGTTTGTGATGTTGTACTTGTATGTACTATGGTCCTATGAATGTTTCTCTATGTTGATGAGTCTTGTAGGGCAATTCTGTTGTTGGCTCAAAGTTCACTTTAAATATTTCTAAATGACAAATATTATATGGAGTACTTTAAATACGGAGTATATAAAATGTGCATTAAGCTGTACAACGGTCTTCGTGTAATGTTTTCTTTTCACTTGCATAGAGGAGAGGTTTTCCATCATCTCTGATGTTTCACTATTTTTAACGTTTCTGGTTATTTTTTTTAAAAAAACATTTTTGGTTTTTTTTACAAAATAATTGTAACTCCGACGTTTTTTTACGTCAAATTTTGTTCACTTTCTTTTTTAATTTTTGTTACTCATTTGATAAAATAATACAGTCATGTTATTTTTTATTTTGTAGAGTTTTGAATATAGTTTTTTATATGCAAATTTTATTTTTAATTTAACTCTAACTTTCAAATAAGTTGGATTAGAAATAATTTCAGTCGAACATCGTAAATTGGAATAGGCGATTTAATTTGGGATAGAGGAAATTTTTTTGAACACTAATATTTTATTATAATGTAGTACTCCGTAATATTTATTTATACATTCTCAGATAAAGAGTCATCATTATATGTTGAATGATAAGGTCTTCCGCAAGTATTTTTTATTTAGAAATGTTTGGTTCACAAATAAAATAGTTACAAATCTCACAAATTTACTATTTTTGAACTTTAATAAAAAATAAAGTATTTTGAAATAATTTCAAAAATAAGAACTTAAAGTATAAATGATAAGTTTGTGAATTTTGTGAACATTTTATTTGTAAACATAGTATTACTTTTTTTTAGTTTTATTTTTAAAATTGTTATTGATTACATGCATCCGATTTTAATTGGATGGACTGAACCGAAAGTCTTGAAAGAAGTTTAGAATTTCAAAGACTCCCTTCCAATTATTTTTTTTCATTTTTCGTTTACTCCAATGAAAGTTTAAAGAAAACTACGTCCGAGATCCTTAATCAAATCATGGAAATGTCAAAACAAAAATCTCTCTTAAATATTAGAAAATCCAAAATTGGAATGAGATTTTTAAAAGTGCATTTTTTTTGGTACAAAAAATGATACTGGGGTTAGGTGGAACGGTTATGGTAGGACTGGCTTATTTTCCATTTTTTTATGGAAAAATGCTAGACCCCATTTGTCCTCCACCCCCTCCTCTACCACATAAATGGGTAAGAACTTTAAAAAAAATTAAATAAATAAAAAATTGATAAAAATGGGAGTGGAGAAGGGGCAGGGGACAAATGGGATATGTGTACCCCAGCATTGCTCGTAAACTCTTGATTTCTGAGATCAGATTTTCCGGCAGCCCATCGCCGGCGAAATGCTATCTCGCGCTTTGTATGTTTCGAATCTGGAAACCAATTTCTTACGCCAATGCTTACCTCAATCTTCTAAAGGCTATTCTTGCTCGAAGCCTCCGCGTTTCTTCGTTATGTTTTCTCCAGAAAGCTTCAGGGTTGGCGCTCATAAAGATCTGAAGGTGATGCGCATAATCCGGCTGCATTGGCGTGCTTCGCTGTATTCGCTCGATACTATTTTGAGTTTAATTGATTGATTTTATGCGTGCTATGAACAGATTCCCAGAGTCAATCCACAGTTCCTTGGATTTCGTTTGCAGCGTGGGCTTGTGCCTGTTCGCATGATGGATGGGGTAATTTTTGCTTATTCTAATACTCCTTTTACGCTTTAGGACGTCTGAATGTTGTTAATTTCGATTCCATTTCCTTCAACAAAATAGAATTAATACACGGAGGATTTAAAAATCACATCAAAAGTTCTACAAGACAACTGGACAAGAGGTGGCTTGGCTATTTTATGTTATCAAATGTTTAATAAATATCTGTAAAGAATGGAGATATAGTTCGACCATCTAAATGGTAATGTGGAACCTTATTTTGGAAATGAGAGAGTACTCTGTGTATAAGTTCTTTTTCATTGGACAAAATAAGGGTACTTCAAATTGGTGGTTAAGATATTAGCTTGTGAATGGACTAAAAATGTAGAAGATATAAGAGGAATATTAGTCATTGTTTGTTAAAATGCAATGAAATGAAGTCTAATGCAATAGTAACTTCAAATTACACTAAAACATTTACTCAATTTGTCCGGCGATGGTTGTCCACTTTGTAAAGTATCTATACTTAAAGCGTGAGAGTTAAATGTCAAGTAGGTCTTCTTAATGAGTTTATCATTCATCAATATCAACAATGCTTACATATTATTCATAGGGTATTTTAGATACTCCACCATAATTTTTTTGCCAAAATGATTCAAAATGAAAATATTTGAACCTCTCTCTCTCTCTCTCTCTTTCTCTCTCCAATTGGAGCCTAAAACATGAAAAACGTAATTGAGTTAATAATGCACACACCTTTGGAAAACTAAGGTCATTTTGATTTTCCCTTATTCTCCCTATGATCCTCTGCCTTTGTAGGTGATATTTAAGTAAATAATGTTAGAGTAAAAATTTTCCTGGTGTACTGCCACAGGCTTGAGCTTTGGGTTGAGTTGGTTCTTTAACAAATAAAAGTCAAACTGAGAACTGTTGAATTATATTATAGGTAATATAATTTGTTACTTTCAAATGTCAGATAGGTTGAGAACCAGGTAATAAACTCTGTTATATGATAAATCCTGTAAATATCCAGGCCACCGATTTCTCTTCATTTGATGATTGGGGAGAGAGTGAAGGGACTGCCGGATATGCAATGCCATCAAGTGATGGTGAAGAAAGCGATGAAGAAATTATGTTAGAACCGATAACGGATCTTGACTTGCCTACTACAAGGGAGAGATTTTCTTGTGATGACTCCATAACATTAGCTGCTCACAGATTGGCAATGCTAGGCAGCGCACGCCGAAGAAAGAAGTATTGTCACTTTTCCTGTATATCAAATACATTTTCATTTTGTTTTCCCGGTTTCTGATATTCTTTGCTGAAATAATCTTACTTGGGTAGAATGTGGAAGCCTTGTGTGCGTAGTTGTTGGTGAATTTACAAGTGGACAGTTTTCCAGAGATTGTTAGGGTATGTTTTGATCTCGGAAAATGCTATGGGAAAGGAATAGAAGTGCTAAGAAAAGTTATTTTGTTATGTTTGGTTTTAACTCAGATAATGCAAAGAAAATGAAGTATGATTACTCCCTTCATGCCATAAAAAGCGTCATGTTTCAGCCACAAACCTTTCCTCTATGTTTCCAGCATATATTTTATTTTCTTTCCATTCAAATGTCCTCTATGTGTTCATACAATATTCTTTCCCAAATCTTTTTGGGACTCAAACGGACTCTTAGATAATAGAAATTGACTTTGGCAAGAATTTGTGCAGGATTTTTCATGGAGTCCTAAACAATATTGGTCTAGTGACATTCTCAACATTCCTGCTCTTCCTAGCAGATTTGTGTGCTTGGAGAATAGTCAGATTACCATTAGCGCCTTTTTATATGATGCGCCCTTTTCTCACATCTGCAGTTGCAGTGTCTTGTGTCGGATATTTATGTGTTCCATTGTTTCGTACTTTAAGACTTCGTTCTCTGATAAGGAGAGAAGTTCCTGCTCATGAACAGTCTGCTAAGAGAGGCACCCCTACAATGGGTGGATTATATTTCATACCCATTGGTGTACTTGTTGCAGACATTATACTTGGGTTTTCTTCAGTGGAGGTTTTGGGAGCATCTGCAGCAACTCTTGCATTTGCCACAATCGGATTTCTTGATGATTTAGTTAACCTCAAGACTAACAGCCAGGGTTTATCTGCTTGGATTAAAATTCCCTTTGAGGTGAGTGCTTATCCTTTTCATAAACCCTTTTTTTCAAGAGGCAATTTGCCTTTACACACAACAAAACCCAGTATAAACCAAATCACAGCTCCATCGAGTTTTTTTTTTTGGGGGGGGGGGGGGATCAAGATGCACTAAGTTTTCTCCTTTCAAAAAACAGAGAGGCTGCTACCCAAAACTTCACTGAAAGTAATTTTAATGTATCATTTTGACTTGGTCCCATATTTAACTGAGGCTAAAACATAAAACATTGTCAATAATGTTCTTTTAGCTCCATTGACAGTGGACATAACTTTTTGCCTAAACTTTGAGGATTAATAGTTGTTTTATTTTACACAGGTAGCTATAGGGATATGGTTCTCCTTTTGGTTAAATGCAACAGATATATCATCCCCTTACAGCATGTATACACTCTTGTAACCATTTGATCAACCTTTTTTCTGATGGTATTCATGGTAACTCGCATATCTATCCTTGTATGACTCGTCAAGATGACAACTAGTTTTCTAATATTTGTAGTTTCTTCAAACAAGATGCCATCTGTCATTAAAAACATCATGTGCAGTGTCCCCTGCATTTCAGATGGATGACTTTTAACTTGTGGTGGTATGCAGGAAATCAGTGGTTCCTCTGCCTGCTCCCATTGGGCTTGTCTGCATAGGAAAGTTCTATCCAATTTTGACTTCATTTTGCTTTACTTCCATGGTAAATGGAGTTGATCTTACAGATGATCTTGATGGATTGGCTGGTGGAACCGCTGCATTAGCATTTATTGGAATGTCAATAGTTGTCCTTCCACTATGCCCTGGTTCGTATATGAGTTACTACAAATCAGTATGCTGTCTAAAGTTGCCTGTTAATATCTTAGGAACTGTTTCCTAATATTTGGTTTTTTGTTTTACGTTACAGTTATCTGTTTTCATTTTCTTGTGTTTTCAAATGTCTAAAGGATAAGTATGTTTAGTAAGCATATCTTTGTATACTATGGAGTAGTATTTATTATAAAAATATATGAATTTTTTAAGAATTATGAATGTTCTATAAATAGTGTCAAAATCGGGTACATTTATTTTTGAAAACATTGAAAGCATCAAATTCATGTTTCCAAACTTCTGTTTTTGTTTTCAGAAACTTAAAATGATATCAATATAGGCAAACCTTGTTAGTGTTTGTATTTTGAAAAAAAGTGAATGAAAAAACATAAGAAGACAAGTTGAAATTTCATTTGATTTTATCATGCATAACATATGAATTGTAAAATAATACGGAGTACAGAACGTCTGTGTGAACATTTTACTGTAATTAATAGTATTTCTTATAGCTGTTAATGAATGTGAAAACTAACCCCTAAACCCTTAGATCTTGCTGTATTTGGAGCATCAATCGCTGGCGCTTGTGTTGGTTTTCTTATGCATAATCGATACAGAGCTTCAATAATCATGGGTGACACGGGAGCACTGGCCTTAGGAGGAGCCCTAGCTTCTATGGCTGCTGTTACTGGACAGTTCTTCCCATTGCTCATTGTTTCTGGGATCTTTGTTGTGGAAGCACTCTCTCTTGTGCTACAGGTACTACAAGTGGAACTCGTTGATATCCTTCAATGCAAAGGGTATGTTTGGTTGGAGGGTAGGGAGAATGATTCTCTCCCCTTGTTTGGTTAGCAGTATTTTTTTAACGTGAGAAGCAAAATTTGCCTTCTCCCGCCGAGATCTAATAAAATGCTGCCGAGATCTAATAAAATGCTTTGAGCTAAACAAGAGGAAGAATCATTTTCTCTTTTTCCCCTCCAACCAAACACACACATCTAAGGTTGGTCGTGTTCGGAGGAGGGGGAATGTTTCCCTTCCCTCGTGCGGCAGAAAAGGGTCAAGAGCCACATTTTTCCTCCCCTCTCTCCCTCTCTCTCTATCCCCCCCCTCCCCCTTCCCCTCTAATTTCAGCTCCCTCCATTGTCAGGGGTGCAATGGAACTGATGAACCAAAATTGTCTCCTATTACCATTGCATCCCGAATTCCCAATACAAAAAATGGAACACACTTATTGTGTGTCCTCAGTTCCCTTACATCCCTTATATCAAGGGCATATTAGTGTTAGTTATTATCTTGCCTCCCTCCCTCTCTTTAACCAAACAAGGGGTTATTAAAAACTCCACCTCCCATCCATTTAAGGAAAATGCTACTTTAACCCCAACTCCCCAAGGTTGACACCACCAGTCCACCAGATATAAATTACTTACTGACTCTCCATTGTCTTCATGCAAGCCAAACACCACTTAAACGAACGACAAGGTTTTAATGATATACACATCCTGTATGAAACAACTAACATCCGAAGGGTATTGCAACGTGTTTATCAGGTATCCTTCTCCAGGGCAAGGCAAAAGTTACCCAGAAAAGGAAGGCCCTTGCTTCAGACTGCACCATTTCATCGCCACCTCAAAATGCGTGGCTTGGGAGAACCAGCTATTGTGGCTGGAGCGTACGCCATTTCATGCGTCCTAGTCTTATGTGCGGGATATGTTGGCCTTATCTCAGTGTAGTACCCCAAGCTGGTAAATATGATCTCTTCGGGTTTTTTCCTTTAAATCTATGCTTTGGTTTGTTTGGGTAGCTAATTACTCTGTTGTCCGATTTCTTATTTTCGTTTGTCCGGAATTAGTTGTCCATTTTTATACGAGTATTCAATAAAGAAATTATGTTGAATTGTCTAAAATATTCTAGAATGAGTGATGAACTTATTTGAAAGATTTATTTGACATTTTAAACTTATTTTTCAAAAACAAGTCTTTTAAGAAAGGGTGTTAACTAAATCCAAATAGAGGGAGTAATAATTACTCTTTATATGAATACATAGTGATGGAACCGGGGTGTTTTACAATATTGCGTACATTCTTGGCTATGACCACAATAGAGTTATAATTACACTGGATTTGTTATTGTTTTACTCCCATTGTCCAAAATTAAGAACTGTGGATCCTATGAAATTTATTCATTTTTTTTTACTTATTTTAGCTAGTCATTTAATAAAATAATGTAGTCATATTACCATTTGTTTTCTAGAGCTTTTGATGTTGTTTTGAATATTTAAGTTAATTTTTTAATTCCATCCCAATCGTTTTATAAATTGATTTACTCCCTCCGTCCCGTTTTAAATCGCCTGTTTTGATTTTTAGACATATTTAAGGAAAAGAAAAAATAAAATTGATTTTTCGAAATTATCATTATTTTTTAGAAGGGTTGACGATGAATAAAAAGATAAGGTAGTGAAGAATGACTAATTTAAGAGGTAGTTTAGGTATTTTACTCTTAAAAGATTACGAAAACAAGTAACAAGCAACTTATTTTGGGACGGAGAAAAAAGGCAAACAAACAATTTAAAATGGGACAGAAGGAGTAAAAAATAACATTAGTCAAATATCGTAAACTGAAATGTGCCACCGAAAATGGAACAAAAGATGGTGATAATAATAGCTTTGGGCAGGGGTGGATGCACTTGGTCACTATTGGTGGGACGGCCCCTAGTGTTGACTCTTTAATATTTGAGGTTGGACGGCCCCTAGTGTTGACTCTTTTAAATATTTGAGGTTGGACTTGGCAGTTGTACTAAAACATAGTGACTTTTCTAATATAGTATCACTGTCATTGTCCACAAGACATTTTTCAAGTAAATGTCCACCGCCACTGGACATTATTCAAATTATATGTCTATTATCACTGGACATTGTTCCTGCTACTACACATTATCCAAGTACTATTTAAGAAATAAAAATGTCTAAATACTATATTGAGAAATGACATCTGTTTTAGTTTTATTTGGTGCAAATTTCTCTATTTTCATTCATAATTTGATAAAATAAAATATTCTTGTCACTTTTTGTTTCATAGAGTTTTTTATCTACTTTTAAACGCTGTAATTTATATGTTTTTTCTTATACTAATATGTAATTACAATAATTTTAAAAAAGATGAAATTTTACACGTTATTCGAAGTGTGACATCTAATATGGGACAGAGAGTTGGTGTTAGCCTAGGTTCAACTATATTTTCTATTGAGGTAGGGAAGGCACTACACAATTGGTTGTTTATACTTCTACCGCCCAACTTATTTTCATTAAGAGATTCATAAATCTACATGACCGATAATATGAATTTAGAACCATTTTTTTTATCATGAAGCCAACCCTATTTTTATGAAGAAAAATAAATACGGAGTACAAACCAGACACCCCTATTGACTAATTTTCATATGTTTTTATGAGAAAATTGTTTGGCATTTTACTATACAAAGAAGTATTAACTTTTTGCACACTTGAGACACTTATTATAAAGAATGGGAAGAAATTTGTTATTAATATGTTGGAAATAAAATGATGAAAAATAAGCACAAGATGGAAGTTACAAAAAGAACATGGGTGGTGTCTTGGTGGTTTCATTTCATAACACTTCTTACAAAAGTAGACCCTTGGGCATGGCCAAAGATCTAAAGAGCTTACAACATTTGATGTAGCCGAGGGTGCGCCCTGCCTTTCTTCTGACCTCGGATTCGAATATTGTAGCATCACCGGTTACAATTGTACAAGATATGATTGCTTAGTTTCCTTAACACCCTTAGGGGTGAGCATCGGGTCAGTTCGGTAGGTTTCAAGCCAAAAAATAAAGTATACATTTTTTGTTATTTGTATAAATTGACTTTTAAAAGTATAAATTTTTTGTTAGTTTTATTTTAATTATTGGTGATATTATTTGTTATCTGAATTTCTTTTTTACACTTTTTGGGCCGTTTTTTCTTTTTCAAAATGTAGTTCTCTTTTGGTTTTAATAATGTAGTACTCCAAACCCCCAATCCATTTTTATATTTTAGATTAAAATATTGATGTTTACCTTATATAAATTTAGATTAAAAAAACATTATATGTAACTATTTTATCCATAATTGTTTTAAATAGTTTAAAATATTGATGTTTTCCTGTTTTATCATGTAGATTAATATACAAAAAATAGTATTATTCATATTAAAAAGTTGAAGAAAAAATAATGATGAGTGTGATTCATAAAAATAGTGAGATAAAAAAAATGAAATAATTTATAAACTATAGTTATAATCATAATAGTTGTAATAATAGTTGTAAATAATAATAATAATAATAACAATAATAATAATAATAATAATAATAATAATAATAATAATAATAATATACGGAGTATTGTTTTTAGAGTGATTTGTCGGAAAGTAGAAAGAGTTTGAAGAAAATAAAAATAGTTGGAAGAAACTGCAAGGAATTGGAAAAAACTAGAAGGAACTGGAAGAAACTGGAAAAAAGTAGAAGGAACTGGAAGAACTGGAAGAAATTGAAAGTTAAGAGTTCAAGCTCTAAAGAACAGGCTCTAAATAAGTAAACTTTTATCTACTTTGTAAATCTATTTTCATTAATTATTTGATAAAATAAAATAGTCTTGTCACATCTAATTTTATTGGTCTTTTGATTTAATTTTTAAAATCAAATCTGTATATTTTATTTTTAAATCCTACAAACAGCAAGAAAGAATTAGTTTTAAGAACAAAATATATAACATGAATCACCAATGACTACCCAATATTATTTCACAAAAATAAAATCTAGGGAGAGTGGGTGTACACAGATCCTAATAATCAAAAGAAGTTTTAAATAAAAAGGATGAATCTCATCTTTGAGGATCTTTTTAGATCGGGTCGAACGGTCATAGAAGGGAGGTAAGTTAGACTAGTTTAAAGAATATGAGAAGTAAATGTTTTCGGAAGGCACTACTTTAAATCTCATTAGTTATACTTTATGAAAAATAAAATTTTCTCTCAACTTTGAATGTCTTTTTACAAAGGTTGTGCTCCTATCTCACTGCTCACGCACTTAAACTCGGTCCGGCGATCTTCGAGACCGAGAGATAGTAGATTAAACTTTGGTCACTAATTGGTATTAAAAAATAGAGTATACTATACAGTAATCAGTATTTGTAGAGGTCTTATATTTAGAATAATTAGGTATAAAATTATATATTCTTTTCGTTGTAAAATAAAACTTTCAGCTTCTTTTTTTGGTTATCCAAAGTAAAATTATCATTTCTTTTAAAATTAAAATCGTTGTTTCGTATTAATTTTCTCTGTTTATCTGTAACCTCAAGTCTCAACGAATATTCAGTTTTTTTATCTCTTTAAAAAGGCTAAACTCCACGATTGGTCCTTCAACTTTATGAGTTATGCATGATTGATCCTTCAAGTTTTTCAAGTTTTAAAAGTCCATAATTAGTCTTTCAGGTATTCATAACCCTCTACTCTTTTAAGTTTTAAAAGTCCATAAGTAGTCCTTCAAGTACTCATCAACCATTCAAATACAATCCTTTTTATGGTACACGTAAAAAGATAAACAGATTACTACTTCCATATATATAATACGAAGTACTTATACTTATACGTAGGTGATTATTTTTTACGTATAGGGAGTTGGGTTTCCATAATTCATATAAAAGTTCTGTATTATTTACTATACAAATTGAACCCTTTGAAAGTAAAATTATCACCAACATTTACAATGTGAGGAAAAGACCCACTGCGTTGCTCAGAGGACGGGCCAGCGTCAAGCACCCATTGTAGGTCGGAAGTTACATCTGGCATTGAGGCGGAAGTTATATATATAGAGCTAGTTGCATTGCATCTGGAACCCATTGCAGGTTGGAAGTTATATATAGGGAGATAATACTCTGTTTAGCTTTTAATGTGTACCGTTGTTGATAAGTACAGCGGGAATAAATGAAAATAATTAATCCAAACTTATAATCCGTTCGGATTTTACAACTGAGAAATAAAAGAGAAAATGGGATCCTTCGGAAGCTCGAACACGAACGGACAGGATCACGAACACAGACGGGCAGAAGGAGGCACACGAACAGCAACTGCGTCAGAGATGTTTCTGGAAGCGTAGGTAAGGAAAGCGGAGTCGCCGGAGCTTTCCTTAAGGTAGTATTACCCGCCTCCCGCACTGGCAAAACGTGTGCAATCTCCTCCTAGGATAAAACCATAGCGTGCTAGGTCTAGAGCGGTAGAACAAAGCACCGACGAATGAGAATGACGAGGACATATTGCCGGAGAAGACAACCGGAAACCGGAGAATCGTCGGAGGATTATACGTATATTGAGAGAACCTTTTGCTGTGTATATCTTTTGTTCTCTCGACCAACCTCTCCTTAAATAGGAGGAGGCTTGGCTAACTCGACAGCCCGGACGGATATACCGAGGAGTCTCAAGTGACTCTTCGGTCGGTCATGCATGCATTTCCCTTGGACGACACTTCGTGATTAACGAAGTGTCCACGCGTGTTCAATTCGGTCTCGTAAAAATTTAGCCCCGCCCAGCCGGCGTGTCGTGCCGAGCCGGACGGACGGCGGCGGGGGCGGCGCGCGAGGAGTCCTCTTCTTGTTCCTTTCATAAGCTAAATTAAAGGCCTAAGCTTAAATATGAGAATATGAAAGGTTCAAAACCCGGTGTGGGACAAGGGTTTTTACTCTACCCTCGTATTCAACTTTGAGAATTAATTTCTCATTCACCCGAGCACCGTTTATGGCGTGTCATATGTCAAGACGTTCGTCTTACTTACGAGGTTAAACGTCCATAATTATTTCGGAAAATAATTTTGTGGACCCTACCGAATTTATGTCCGAAAAATGTCCAATTTACTTAAAATTTCCAACAAAAAAGGACTGCATTTGGAGGATTGAAGAATACTTGAATGACTACTTATGGACTTTTGAAACTTGAAGGACTGGATTTGGAGGTTATTGAATATTTGAAGGATGATTTATGAACTTTTAAAACTTGAATGACCAATCATGCACAACTCATAAGTTGAAGAATCAATGATGAATTTTAGCCTTTTAAAAAAGTAAATGAGAACCTGATTTAAGAAGATAGGAATGAAGTATTATTTAAACTAATTATAACGGAACAAAGAGAAAGCAATTAGAATTGCAAAGTAAATATATCAACCAATTATGAAATTAAACCATCTAATTTACCTGGTTAAAATGATTTTTTTTCTTCTTTTGGACTATTCTCTACTTTTATACGTATAATTTTTCATCCTCTCAAACTTTAAAAGAAAAACAAAAACAAGAGTAAATTCCATAATTAGTCCTTTATAACAAGGGGTTTCCATATTTAGTCCTCTATTATCAAATATTACCCCCGTAGTCCTTTTTTAAGGGTACCTTTCCACAAATGGTCCTTTTTTTGATCTTCTGCCGTGTTGGTGTTAATTTAAAGGCTAAAAGTATAATTTGACGTCAACATTATGTCTAGTGACGTGTTCTGATATTGGTTAAGCGGATAACACAAAATTAATGACTATGATTATGGGCTAGGATTCTGACGAAAGATCACATTTGTAGACTATAGTTGTCGTAAAAAGCGACTGTAATTCACAAACGACGCAAACGGAACAGCCTTTGGAATTGTGCATGACAAAAAAAATATATTATCATTGTGAAATTACACTTTTAGCCCTCAAATTAACACCAACATGATAGAAGATCAAAAAAAGGACTATTTGTGGAAAGGTACTCATAAAAGAAGGACCACTTGGGTAATATTTGATAATAAAGGACTAAATAGGGAAAC